TGGGGGTCTGGCCAATCGGGACTGAGCAAGATGGGCTGGATATGCCCTGGAGCCCTTTCTCAGGCCCTCCCTGGCTGGCCAACCTTCTGTGTCCCTCCTAGGCCCTGATCATGCACCAGTGGGGTCCCTCAGCCTGGCCTGTGCCCTCTCAGAATCCAGGACCCATTGGAGGATGTCAGAAACCAGTTTTGGTCCGATCACGTTGGCCAGGCTGAAGGGCCCCACAAGTGCATGAATTCATGCAGTGGGCCTCTAGTGTAAAGATGAGAATCCAAGTAAGCTTTTGTAGACTGATCCTTTCGGTTTACTGACTATAAATACTGGTTAAACCACATATCTTTCCCTTTCCCTAAAACAATTGCTATCTGCAGGCACTGAAGAATGATCGAACATAGACAGTTACTAGAGGGAAGCTGACACTTGGAAGAAAAGAAGAGCAAGAACTAAATTATATTTCTACTTTTCAAAATTCTGGCCAGACCACAGTTTTCAGTCTGAGTTAGGTGGGGCAGGTGAAACTCCACCGAAAACCTGTAATATTTCCAGTCTGAAGAAATAGCAGAAAAGCGGATCCCTAAATTTTATTGATAAACATTTCCTGTATCTATGATTGACTCTTGAACTATATTGCAAATTGCAAACAATACAGATAGAAAAAAACACACAAATAAACCAAAAGACCAACTAAACTAATCTGAGACATGAAGTGCCTCTCAAGAGACAGGCTTTATAGGGATTTTAGTTGGAGTTCTAAAAATGTATTTGCTTGTGAAAACAAACTAGAAAAAGAAACTCTCCTAGGTAATATAAAAGAATCCAAAAGCCCATTGAAAATGTTCAGAATACAATGTAAAACTGCTTGACATGAAGAAATAGGAAAATGTGACCCATTCTAAGAGAAGAGAAAGTCAGCCCTTTAAGATACTAGGATAACCCCTTTAGAGAAAAAAGTCTGAGGGAAGAGGAAAGAAGGGAGACCCAGTTCATGAAATTGAGGATTATTATGTTAAACTTGCTCAAACTTTTACACTGTCATTCTTCACCCAGTTCTGCCTCAAGCCATTCACTTCTCAACAAACATGGCTTGTGTGTACTTGCTTACTTGTGCATATTTGCTGATAACATTTCTCCTGAGCTCCCTGAAATTCTCCAGCTAGACCTTCTTTCTGTCCTAATACCTAACACATTGCCTGTTATATGGTAACTAGAGGTCTGATACACAAAATTTGTACATGGGTCTGGCCAGTGATCAGGGCTGATCTGTGGGGTGACCAGAGGGGTGATCAGGGAGCCCCCAGTGGCACCCACCTTGGCTAGCCTGGGGCCTAAGGGCTGGGAGCAGCTCCTGTATTGAGCATCTGCCCCCTGGTGGTCAGTGCACATCATAGGAGCTGGGAGCAGCTCCTGTGTTGAGCATCTGCCCCCTGGTGGTCAGTGCACATCGGGTCATTCCACCAATCGTTTTGCCATTTGGTCGATTTGCATATTAGGCTTTTATTATATAGGATGGGTGGCCAGTCAATGCTTCTGAGTAAACTAATAAAGTAGATAGATAAATATATGAATGAATGAGTTAATGAGTGAATGAAGGAAAAATGAATGATTGAAAAGTCCTTCCTAGGATTATCTCTCTATTTGAATCTTATCTGAACTTCTAGAAACAGGCAGTCCCTTTTCTTCTAAAAGGATTTAGGAACCATTTCTGACATATTTTTTAAAAACTTGTAATATATTATCAATTGTTGCCATTTTACCATATATTATCCTGTATTATTCCATGACAATAAAGGCATTTATTTGCATATGTATGAACACATAATCTCCTCCAAGAATGTAATCTTCTTGAGGACAGACATATCCATTTGGGAGAGGATTGATTAAGGTAAGTAAATCCAAGCTCCTAAACCAATGATGCTAGCCAAACACATACACAATGCTAGCCAAACACACACACAATGCTAGCCAGACACACACACAATGTTAGCCAAACACACACACACACACACACACACACACACACACACAATATTAGCCAAGCACACACACAATGCTAGCCAAACACACACACAATGCTAGCCAAACACACACACAAAATACTACCAAATACATATATACACAATGCTAACCAAACATACACACAATGCTACCCAAACACACACACAATGTTAGCCAAACACACACACAATGCTAGCCAAATACACATACACTGTTAGCCAGATATACACACAATGCTAGCCAAATACACATACAATGTTAGCCAAATATACATACAATGCCAGTGAAACACACACACAATGCTAACTAAGCACACACATAATGCTAGCCACACACACACACAGTGCTAGTCAAACACACATACACTGTTAGCCAAAAGAGAAAAGCCACGTGGTAAGACAGGAAGTTTAACCACAGTATGTATTCTTTAGGACTCCAAGGACCAAGAGGGCAACTAAATTTATTTCATTACGTTAGGGCACAGCTCACTTTGCCCAGTTGTCTCTTGCTGGCTTCTTATAATGTGGATAGCAATAGCCTTAAACAAAACTGAGGACTGCAAGGGTGTATCTTCATCTAGGCTGTCCTTCTCGGGCTGATTCTGTTGCCCGCCCTGCACTAATTGTTTTAATACTTGCACAACATGTCATAAGTTTTGAGGTGTGGTTACTATGAAAATGCAAGCTTGTCATGATTGGCAACAACCATCATCATTTTATGCAGCTCACGTGTCTGAAGTCTGAGACATTGATATGCTTAACGCTCAAGTTTTGTTTTTCTAAGCTAGTCTTTCTTTACTTCTACAAATTCAAAGTGAGAAGCAGCCAGTTGACTTTGATAACCATGGACAATGTCTTCCACTGCATTTTACAAGATTTTCAAAACAATATGTCTGTGGAGTCAGTGATCAAAATAGATATCAATTTAGATACTCATAAGAAAGAAAAAGAAAAAGATGGGCATTTATATTTCAAGAAACTTTTATCTTTTATATATTCATGTTTACACTTTTACATTTTCCACTTAATATCCCTTACTTCAGAAAAAAAATAATGTGATCTTTTACATATTTTCCCCAAAACAGTATATCTGCTCTACATATTTGCCCTGATTTTGTTAATGCTTATCAACATAACACTCCTCTTCCTGCTTTTCATTATTTTTATCTATTTCCCATTATCTTCACATACTAAGACAAAGAAACACCAGGAACTATCTTTGGAACAGTAAGTTTGAATTCTTTTTCAAGCACAGATTTCTATATATGTTTTTTTAATTATCATTTTGAGGATTGGCAAATAGACTCCAAGGAAACATTTGCTCTTCCAGCTTCAAGTTTACTTAATGATTGCCATCCATGTTGTAGTCAGTGGATAATGATTTCCTTTCCCTAAGTGAACCTGAGATTTGGTTGTTGGGGGGGAAAAATAGATTTGGCTTTAACAATTAATTTTTGCAGTAAGAGCTACTTGGCTTTTGAATTCATTTACACCTCTGCTTAGATTTGTAACAATGAATTCAGTGTCAGCACACTCTTACCTGTGTTTTGGACATCCACTTTCTCTGTTATGAAGACACCAACTAGTATTATAACGAACGTATCATTAGATGTTCACAAGTCTACAGTGCAAAGGCTTATCATCTGTGAGTGTCTATCTGAATAAGCCTATCAAGCCATGTTTTAGCTATGCAAATATAATTTATTTTTTTCTTCCTAATTTTGTTATATAATTATTGTAGGATGTTCCCTAATATAATTGACAAATGGAAGCAAACCTAACCGGTCGATGGTAGAAAGAATGATTCATTCTCTTCATGTGAGTTTCCATGATGGTGGACCCATCAGGGCGGTTGCCAGGGGCAGTCGGCCACTGCTGCTCACCTTTCCCCTCATTGTTCCTAAAATATCCCCTGGAATTGCCACAGAAAGTCTGGAATAGCTTTCTCCGTGGATTAAAAACTTGTTCTGGATTCATAAACAGGGATCTCCATCTAAAAACTCCCTTGTCTCCTCTGAAGTCTTTTTCTGGATGTAATTCAATTTGCCCCCTTGATTTTTAAAATTTCCTTGAACTCAAAGTACATGTCATTTTTCACACCTTAGGCCTTCCGGGGACCTCTACCAGTGGTTGGCAAACTCATCAGTCAACAGAGCCAAATATCAACAGTACAAGGATTGAAATTTCTTCTGAGAGCCATATTTTTAAAACTTAAACTTCTTCTGATTCTACTTCTTCAAAATAAGACTCACCCAAGTTGTGGTATTTGTGGAAGAGCTGCACTCAAGGGGCCAAAGAGCTGCATGTGGCTCGCGAGCCACAGTTTGCCAACCACAGCTCTAGCCTGGGTTAGACAACTGGTGTTACTGGCCCTCGGTATTCTAGCGGCAGCTGTGTCTGATCACAAGCCTCTGTGTGTGCCTTCCTCTCCTGCGCTGGCTCCTCTGTAATGTTAGACGTGGTGTTGTTCCCCCTTAGCTTTTTCTAGCTCGGTTTTTCCCCTCTAATTTCATAATAGGATTCCTTATTTTTTCTGTGGTATCACACTCCTTCAGTACTGACTTAGTAGTTAGGTGCCCTTTGGTAATTAAAAAGTATAGCATTGACCATGTAGATTAGGTAGCCTCTACAGGAATTCTTAGTTTCATTCAATACAATAACCTTCATTTAGTACAACCAAAACTTCATTTTCTAACAAAAGCCACATTGTCATATTCCAAAGAGCAAGTACTGCCGCCTGGCTTCTCATCCTCATTCTCATTCTTTTCTAGGTATATTTTGTAACACCAGCCAACCTAGGCCCGTGGCCCAGGTTTTTCTGGGTGTCTGTATAGCCCCCAATAAAGATATTTTATGTTTAAAAAAAATCCATTATAATCAATCCATGGAAACAGTCAGTTTACAGTAAACAAAAGGTCTCAAAGATATCCCATGTTTTCATAAATCACAGTACATTTCTCTGCATCCTAATTTTAAATAAAAAAACAGGTAAAGTAAAGATCTTACCCCAAAAGTTTTCTGGCCATGGACTTCCTAAACTTGTGGTGTTATTGGCCATAATATCCGCCAGAAACAGGAGAGAGAGGAGAAAGGAGAGAAAGAAAGAAAAGCCAGGGTGGCCAAAAGCAGCACTCTGATTCTAGGTCTTTGTGATTCCGCAGGAGAGAAATAATTTTCACACAACCCCTCATATACTTGTGTTTGCATAAAAGGAAACAAGTGTATCATGTTTCCTGCTTTTATACTCAAATTAGCAACTGTTTTTCTTATCTTGGAATTCCACATGGTTCCCGAGACACAGAACCATTTCCTTCTCGTCATTTCCTCAGCGAAGGCACTGGATGCCTCCGCCTGGCCGCCTCCAAACTGCTTTTGGGGTAACAGACTTTTTTCCTTCTTTCGCCATCTCCCACTGACACACACAGGGAGATTCCAGACCCGGCTGCAGCGCGGGTGACATTGATTCAGGAGAGAGAGAGCCGTTTTCCAATGGTTAAAAATTAACTTTTGGAGGAGAGCAAATTCAGAAATCCAGGTCCTGTTCAAGGACAATTAATTTTCTAATGCCTCTTTTCTTTTTTTTCTTTTTTATCTAAATCCGTTGCTTTTCAAAACTCTTACCATGTCTCATTCTATTTGTATGTTAATGTTGAAAATGTCTTTATTTCATAAATATGTATCTAATATGTAATTTAGATTGAATTACAATTGGTATCTAAATATGAAAAAAGTTTCTAGAGTGAGAGAACCTATTTTTAAAAAGATGATTTAAAAAAATAAAAGAGAGGCTCTTTTATTTGACAAAGAGCATTTTTTCCATTGTAAAAAAAAAAAATTAAAAATGAGCCCAGACAGTGTGGCTTAGTTGTTGAGCATTGGTCTATGAACCAAGAGATCATGGATCAATTCCTGGGCTTGATCCCTAGAGTGCAGCATGCAGGAGGCTGCCAATCAATGATTCTCTCTCATCATTCATGTTTCTATCTCTCTCTCTCCCCCTCTCTTCCTCTCTGAGATCAATAATAAAAAAATAAATAATTAAAAACATAAGTAATAGGAAAAATATAAATACAAACATTTTATTACAACAGAATTTTACATGCTACAGCAAGGAGTACGTTGAGCACAGTAATTTTTCTTCCTGAGGAGGTGAGAGAAGGGATGACCCTGGTATTGTGTGTGAAAGTATGAAAATAATTTTGCTCAGGAGTAAGTGGGTGGAAAGGTAGAAGGGGCAACATAAAAGGAGAAGAACGATTACAGCCCTCACTGGGGATGACAAGAGAGTATGCAGAGTGTGGCCCTCAGAAAGGCTGACATGAGACTTTTCAGGAGCTGTGGGTTATTTATAACTTCAATTTTCTGTCTACAAGCTTTACTAGCTGAGGCTAGATTCTCTGAGCACTGGGAAGTCATCGTAGGTAGGAGTCAGGGCTAAACCATACTTAGTAACTGCACAAGACTGCATTCAGTGGGCCACTTTCCTTAATCTTTGCCTAATCTAGCACTAGCTCTTGCACAGTTTGCAGTCACCTAACTGGCCATGGATTCCTTATGTGGCAGTGTGAAGCCGCAACCACCTTTGTGAAGTAAGATACTCCTGAATATCTGAAACAAAAAACATGGAGCTTATCGCATATTAATCTTTGTACTCCTAATTCTCTAAAAACTAGGTTGTTTCTGCTCATTTTTTATAGACTTACATTAATATCCAGTAAATGCACTGGATATTAATATATAGACCACCCAAAGGAGAATAGGGAAAAAAAAAGTGTTATAAATATTCAGAGACATCATTGGGAAGACTCATCTCTATGATATTCTTGCTGAGGTTTATTTCCATATAGTCAAATAAGTAAAATATCCATACTGTTGTTTAAGGAAAGCCTATGTGGGGGTCTCGTTTTAATAGTTACTTTTACTTCTCAATATTATGTCTAGTCAAAATTTATAAAAACAGAAAGCTAAAAGATTATCTTATTTCAAACATATATATAATCTGGATAGAATTATATTGAAATACTTCTAAATTATTTCAGAAACAGCAGGATTCTTCCATTACTCTATGCATTTCAAAAACCCACATTTGGTTGTATTATAGACGAACAATTCAATACATAATAATTTCAAAACTGGATGCACTTTGAAACAGAATTATATCAACTGTATTCACTCTGAAACAAGAACCCAAATGGTAGAAAGGATGGGCCTGCTTGGTCAAAACTGCCTCGTGGGCAGAAACAGTTCGCTCCACCTCAGGCCTGGGATGCAGGCCTGGACTTCCTCTTATTGTTCAGATTTGAGCATCTAAATTTTCTCCAATACATTTCCACTTTTGCAGATGGTCAGAACCCGTCAAAATTCTGAAGAAAACTTGTTTTTCCTATCACTATATATAACCCTGGAATATTTTTCTCTTCTGTTAACAGCTGTGGATAGCATTCATTCTTATCTGTGCATGCAATTTGCTGGTTAAGGATTCATACTGTTTTTTGGCAGCGATCCATGTAAATGGGTGTTTATATCTGTGCGATTTCTGAGTCCCATGACTTGTAATGCCAAAACAGGAAGTGGACTTTTATCTTTCCAAAACTGTAAGGTCTGCTTTTCTACTCTTCAGATCTGGATTCCCTGCTAGTCATAACACACCATCGGAGGCTTGTTCCTCCCCCAGAGTCACAGGAGCTATTCCCTCCCTTCATTTCGGCCTCTTGGTCCTTACAGGGCATTCAGTAGTCCCCTGTCTGAAGTGGCTCACTAACCACCCCCTCTCCTCTGACCCTGTGTTACCATTCTATTCAGAGCGCTTAGCAGGCCCTGACTTTGTGCTATGTGTCTTTTTGCTTTTTCTTTGTCTCTTATGCTCTTCCATGAGAGTTAAGCTCTATGAGGACAGGAACTTTATTGATCTTGCTCTTATCTGTGTCTACGTGGCTTATATAGTTCTCTTAATAACATGTTATAAATAAATAACAAAGCAGCCCTAGCTGGTGTTGCTCAGCAGATAGAGCAGCGGTCTGCAGACTGAAGGGTCCTAAATTCAATTCCAGCCAAGGGTGCATGCCTAGGCTGTGGGCTTGACCCCCAGTAGGGGGCATGCAGATGGCAGCCGATCCATGATTCTCTCTCATCACTGATGTTTCTGACTCTCCCTCTCCCTTCTGCTCTGGAATCAATAAAAATATCTTTAAAAAGAAAAGAAAGCTCTAACCGGTTTGGCTCAGTGGATAGAGTGTTGGCTTGCAGATTAAAGGCTCCCAGGTTTGATTTCGGTCAAGGGCATGTACCTTGGTTGCGGGCATATCCCAGTGGGAGGTGTGCAGGAGGCAGCTGATGTTTCTCTCTCATCAATATGTTTAACTATCCCTCTCCTTTCCTCTCTGTAAAAAATAAAATATATTTTTTAAAATAATAAATAAATAACAAAGCAGGATCTTATTAGCTAGTTAGTTAATAATAAAATAATTCCAAGGGACCTGAAGATAAAATTGTTTTAGTCATTCCATGTCAGGTTAATAAAAAATGCCACTTACCACTGAAAAACCAAAGTTAGAGATCTCTGTTTTTAAAGGCATTCAATATTTTAAAAGTTTGAATTAGTACTTGATATAGAGACAAGCAATACAAAAGAACATTGTCAGACAAACTCAGACTTAAGATAAACATTTGACTTTAAACTTTCCCTTTTTGCTTTATTTTTAAAACTATCATGGGTTGTCGTCCTCATAATAAATTGACCTAAGCAATTTAATATTTTAGAAAAAAATCCAGACAAAACAAAAAACTAGAAGTACAGCTTATAAGTAAAAAGTACAAAATGAATTGATTCAAGTGCCTGAATTTGTTCAGAAAAGAGATAAAGAGATAAAGAATTTGTTCAGATATATTCACTGAGAAAAGAATGAAACTTCATTAACTGGAAATACAGTATGAATTAAAAATAAATTCAAATATCATAATTACTGAGGAAATATTCAAGCATTCCCTTTAACAGAACATTTGACCACTATCATGATTTCTATTCAAAATCAGACAGCAAGGCCTTGCTGGTACCATGAGAAAAACAAATAATATACTATGTAAAGAATTAGAAAGATAAAAATGAAAGCATAATTTGTTGTAGGTTGTAAAATGGTCTACATTGTCACAAACAATATAAGATATACAAAGGAAAGAAGTCATTACTAGGGAAAAAATACAACAATAACAAAAATATACCAGACTTATGTGGAAAATGATTTTATTGAAGGAGTGACTTGTATGCATGCATATAAGCATAACCAATGGACAGAGATGGGGAAGAGAGAGAGTAAGGGCATGTGCAGAGGGGCGTGGGCAGCTGAGGAGAGGTCAATGGGGTAAAAGGAGACTTATGTATTACGTTAAACAATGAAGAACTCAAATCACACACGCACACACAAAATGGTAGAACCTACGTAGAACAGAATATCTCCATTTTCAACAATATGGATGGCATTATGTTAAGTGAAATAAGAAAGACAAGTATGACGTGATTTCACTTATATGTGGAATCTTAAACAAGAAAACAAACAAACAAACAAACAAAAAGACGCAGAGAATAGATTGGTCTATCAGCATTTTTACACGAGCAGCACTCAAATCTATGTACATCTGTCACACTGAGAACCAACCCACGTGGGTTCAGTGGGGCCTGAAAGATTCCATGCACTGAGAAGTCAGTGATGTTTCACTAATTTTATCTCACCCATAAGAATAGTTCGCTTTGGGGACCGGTTTGGCTCAATGGATAGAGCATCGGCTTGGGGACTGAAGGGTTTGATTCCGGTCAAGGGCATGTACCTTGGTTGCAGGAATATCCCCAGTAGGGGGTGTGCAAGAGGCAGCTGATCGATGACTCTCTCTCATTGATGTTTCTAACTTTCTATATTTCTCCCTTCCTCTCTGTATAAAATCAATAAAATATATTTAAAAAAATAATAGTTCGCTTTGGTTGATATGATTATAGCTTATAATCAAGGTCCTACAGCCTGGCTATATTTTAATAAGAAAGTTAATTTAGTGTGGCATACTTGCTAT